TTACTCCATAATGCCATTTGCAATGGCTTGGATGAGCCTAGAAGGGATAATGCTAAATGAAATAAATCAAAGACACTTACCGTATGGTTTCATTCATATGTGGAATTTAAGAAACAAAACAAATGAAGATAAAAGAGACAAAAAATATGGACTTTTCAACATGGAGAATAAACTTGTGGTTGCCAGAGGGGAGATGGGTGAGGGGATGAGTGGAATAAAAAAAGATTAAGAGTAAACTTATGGTGATGAGCACTGAGTAATGTACAGAAATGTTAATTATGTTGCACACTTGAAACTAATGTAACACTGTATGCTAATTATAGTTCAATTAAAAAAATAAGTTATGATCTTCAAAATCATCCAGAATGTCTTCATCACCTATTAGTCTAGGCTTTAAAGATTTATTTATTTGACACAGAGAGAGAGAGAGAGAGTGAGAGAGAGAGAGAGAGAGAGAGAGAGAGGGAACACAAGCAGCAGAGGGAGAGGGAGAAGCAGGCTCCCCACTGAGCAAGGAGCCTGATGCGGGGCTTGATCCCAGGACCCTGAGATCATGACCTGAGCTGAAGGTAGACGCTTAACTGAGCCACCCAGGTGCCCCTAGACTTTTTTTTTAAGATTTTATTTATTTATTTGAGAGAAAGAGCACGCATGAGCAGGGGAGAGGGGCAGAGAGAGAGAGAGAGAGAGAGAGAGAAGCAGGCTCCCCACTGAGCAGGAAGCCCCATGCAGGGCTTGATCCCAGGACCCTGGGATCATGACTTGAGCCGAAGGCAGTCCTTTAACCAGTTGAGCCACCGAGGCGCCCCTAGCCTAGACTCTTTTTTAATTTGGTTATTACCTGGATCTTTCTAATGTAAGAACTTTAGGATATTTCTTATTACAAAAAGATCAGGGAGCAGCACTGCTTAGTTATAATCAGTGACCGCCCATGTCAGACACAAGGAAACTAAGATGGATGGCTGTCTTTATTAAGTTTGCTCCTCAGACCTTCTCCAAGACCTTCAAATCTTAAAATATTTAGGTTAGGCTCTTTTTTGGACTCTAGTCACTTTCTTTACTCAAAAAATTATTCTTAAAGGTCAGTGGTTCTGGACTTACGAACATGGTTTACAGAAATATAGTGAAAATAACATTTTTTCTGAAAAGAAAAATCCCCATGCCAAAGATAGCTTTTCTTATCTAAAAAAATATTTTTTCTCCTATCTGGTAGTCTCCTTCCAGTCTTTTGAGAATCAAATGTCATCAGCCCTGTATAGCCATTCTTTAAAGAAAAAAAAAAGCTTTATTGATATATAATTTACCTACCACATAATTCACCCATTTAAAGTCTATAATTCAATGGTCTCTGGTACATTAATTATAAACATTGTGGGCATAGATAACATAAAACTTTTCTATTTTAACCACTGAAATGTACAAAGCAATGGCATTATGTTTATAGTATTATGCAACCATCACCACTCTTTTTCCAGACCTTTTTCATCACTCCACATGGAAACACCCTATTCATATATATTCATACATATTCATATATACAGATATATTCAGCATATAGTTCATATATATTGAACTATAACTTCTATTCCATCCCCCACCCCCATGAAGCCATTCTTAACTGTCCCAGGCCAAATTTGCTACAGTATTTTAGGTACCCATGAAATTTTGCTTATGTATCTTTCAAGTTATTTACTTTTTGTAGCAAGTTTACGTGTTTGCTCCTTTCACTAGATTGGCTTTCCTGGGGATATAATCATATCAGCTGCAAATGATAATTGTGTGTTTCTTTCATAATTAATAATAATTAAATTATTAAGATCAATAAGAGGGCAGAGAGTATCTTTATCATAATAACCAGTAGAGTAGACCTTTCTATCCACTTGGCTGAATCTAGGTATACAAAAGACTAAAAAGTCCAATCATAGAAATATTAAAATTAAATATTTAAAAATCAAAGTGTAGAGAAGTCTAAGATTAGAGGCAATAGAAATATGTCACAGAGGAATTCTTCAGTGCTTTAACTGCAAATATTAAATACTTCTAAAATGTCAAGCAATTAATCAAATATTTTCTGCAAAATTGAGAGACTGAATGTTAAGATGTTTGTTATATAAAGAACTGTCAACTCAGAAATTGACATCAAACATTGACATCGAAATTAAAAAACGGACAAAGGAAAGACCATTCAGAAGAAATATATTAGTAAAAAAAGTATGAGGGGAAATGCAGTTGAAATACTATTTTAAATTACTTTTATTTTAGTACCAGTGTAAGTCTCCATTTTCATCTGTCAAATTTGCAAACACTTTTAATAACATTTTATAATTTAACCAAAAATATTTAAATTGATGACAGACATTCAAGTACAATCTCAGTGAGCATGCAATTATTCATTCATCAACCAGAAGATGGATTTTGTGTGAATCTTTCTTTCAGGCAACTAATTAACAGCATATCATATAGGAGGTGTTACAGGATATTTTTGGCATAACTAAATATCTTATTTCAGAAAAGTCTTTGATAACAATTATGAGAGGAAGTAGTATACCTGGACTTCAAGACTTTATGTGGGAATATTAAACAGCAATCAATTTCATTTAATTTTTAAATTCTACATAAGTGAAGTCATGGTGTTTGTCATTCTCTGACTTCTTTCACTTAGCATTATACCCTCTAGGTCCATCTATGTTGTTGTAAATGGCAAGATCTCTTTTTCATGGTTAAGTAATATCCCATTATATATATGTGTGTACACACACACACACACACATATCCATAGATGAATGGATAAAGGTTATATATATATTATATACATACCACATCTTTAGCCATTCATCTATGGATGGATACTTGAGTTACTTCCATATCTTGGCTATTGTAAAAAAATGCTGCAACAAATACAGGGGTGCATATATCTTTTTGAATTATTGTTTTCATTTTCTTTTGTTAAAACCCAATAGTGGAAATACTGGACCATAGGGTGATTCTATTTTTAATTTTTTGAGGAAACTTGAAGAATGCAAATTGGTGCAGCCAGTGTGGAAAACAGTATGGAGGTTCCTCAAAAAGTTAAAAATAGAACTACCCTATGACCCAGCAACTGCACTACTAGGCATTTACCCAAAAAATACTGAGTCAAAGGGATACATGCACCTGATGTTTAAGGCAGCATTATCAACCATAGCCAAATAATGGAAAGAGTCCATATTGTTTTCCACAGCGCTGTACCAATTTGCATCCCCACCAACAGTGCATGATGCATCCTCATCAACACTGATTATCTGTGATTTTCATTTTAGCCATTCTGACAGGCGTAAGGGGTTATGTGGAACTCAAGAAACAAAGACAATGAAAAAAAAGAGACAAAAACAAAAACCCTTGTGCTTAAATAGAACAAACTGGTGGTTTCCAGGAGGGGAGTAGAGAGGAAGATAAGTAGGACAGATAACAGGGATTAAGAGCACACTTATTTTTTAATTTTTAGTTTTTTTAAAGTTTATTTTTTTAAATTTTTTATTGTTATGTTAATCACCATACATTACATTAGTTTTTGATGCAGTGTTCCATGATTCGTTGTTTGTGCATAACACCCAGTGCTCCACGCAGAATGAAGAGCACACTTATTTTTATGAGCACAGAGAAACGTATAGAATTATTGAATCATTATATTGTACACCTGAAACTAACATATAACACTGTAGGTTACATTTCGATAAAAATAATAAAGGCATTTTCAGTTTAAAAAAAAAAGCAGTCAACTTAAAAAGTAAAAGAAAACAAAACAAAACCCCAAGCCAATTAACAAGCAGGGGTAGGTTTCCAAGTCTGGCTTCACCCATGTCATTTTAGACGATGGCTAAACGGACCTCTGTGGGGCTTGGGAGACTCCTGAACAGATTTTAAATTGGTGATGACATTCTCTCCAGTTACCTTGTTGTTCAGGTGAATACAACGACATCGTCAGCTAAACCTATTTCATTTGATTAAATATTTGTTTCTGTATTATTAAGAGCGGTATATGTAACTCTTCTTTGTGTGTTGAGAAGCTGGAGGGGTATCTTGAACTAAGAATATGTAGACCATGACCTGATGAACGAGGGGGCACAAGTCCACACACACGGGGTCAGTGGGTAGTTCCCTCAGCACCCAAACTCCCACTTCAGGGAAGTGAGACCCACAGGGTCCTTTTTTTTTTTTTTTAAGGTTTTATTTATTTGACAGAGAGAGAGACAGCGAGACAGGGAACACAAACAGGGGGAGCAGGAGAGGGAGAAGCAGGCTTCCCGCGGAGCAGGGAGCCCAACGAGGGGCTCGATCCCAGGACCCTGGGATCATGACCTGAGCCGAAGGCAGACGCTTAATGACTGAACCACCCAGGCGCCCCTCACAGGGTCCTTTTGATTAAAGGGGCAGTTTAGTTTCAATAAACATCACAAAAATAATATTTTATATAATTAAAGCCAATGACTTCCCCCCAAAAATCATCTGTTGGCAGGAGTGGGAGTCACATTTCATGGAAATTGATTCTTATGATTCCAAAACTGAAAACTGTTAGAATCCATTTTTGATATGTAATTATATCTACTGAAATGTGTATAAGCTAGACCATAATTTATACTGAAAACAAGCCATATTATTTGTTGATAATATATCCCTGTCCCTCAATACTTCTGTTCTTGTTCAGTTTGAGAAGCCCTACTCCCCTGAAGCAATAGAACATCTCCAGAAAGTCCTTACACCTTGAAGTACCACTGGATCCAGCAGTTTCACTAACAGAGACTGAACTGAGAATAAAAGGAATCATGGAGAAACTAGACCAGCTGATCCCAGCCAGACCTTTCACCAACGTGAACCCCACCACCAGTGCTGCACACAGGACAGCTGCCCTCCTCCCCCCCCCCCGATGCCTACTGCAGGAGGTTCAGCTAGACATCCTGCTGCAGGGGAGGGACCACTTGGGAAGCAGGAAGGAATATGACAGGGATCTCCTGAGGGTCAGGATGTCCTCCCCAGCCCTGAAGGCAGGTGCTTCAGGAAAGGTGACAGACTTCAACAATGGCAGCTACCTTGTCAGCATCACTTTGTTCTGGGAAGGCTGGGTCTGTCTCTCATGCTCATCCACCCCAGTGAAGGAATATAAGAGCTCTCTGGAGGGCAAGGGACCAAGACTATGACAGGGTGATATTCACAGGCCAGTTTGACAATAATACCTCCTGGGTCCTGAGTGTGGTCTGACCCTAAACTCAAGTGCTGAACTTTGCAAATACCTGGACTATTGAGACCAAGAAGCTTTCTACTGCATGAGTCCTCCATATGTTCCCCATGAGGCCCTGACCCACAGGACCACCAGCAATGGAAAGATTTCCTATCTTAGAAAAGAAGAACAAAGTCTTTTCCACAGGCAAACAAGCCTTCATATACAATAATTGAGACAAAGAGGGAGGCTTAGGTTCAAACCAACTCTGCCTAGAAACTTTTCCTAATCAAGTCCCTTAGGTCAATGAATGTGATTGGGTTATAAATTCATCCATTGCTCAGAGTCAGGTCAGCAGCTAGGGCCCCACACAGGTCACCTCTACACTGTGGTTTTAAGGAGTATAACCAAAGATGCATTTTACATATACTAATAGTTCTCCATCTTTTGTAGTATTTCTAGAGTTGGTAACTTTTTAGAGACCAGTATTTTCTATGACATATTCCATGGAACACCAATGTTTTTTTTTTTT